AACGATCCTTTCGTTTCTCAACCTGTGAACTGAGCCCACGTTACATCCCTCATGAAGTCTCTTCTGATTAGGGCACTTGATTTAATGTGGAATTTCAAATGTTTATAAACAACGCTCGAGGAAGTGCGAGCAAGACTATTTCTATCTCGTTTTGCAGGGTTCTTGACTTGTAAATCCGGAGATGATTGCAGAATATTTTCTTTCATGGCCTTGACTCGGACAGTCTCCTTCGTTAAGCCATTGACCAAGCCTACATTACGACCCTGAAGAAGACCTCTCAGATTGGCAGCGTCGTACCGCTTGCGAGAAAACTCAGACCCTTGCGGATGTGATAACGGTCAGATTGAGTGTTTTCGATGTTCCCGCATTAATGGACGGGACAAATAGCCCTTTTCAATGAGAGCGAGTGGAAAGTCCTTTCTGACTGAGGATCCCTCGTTCAGCATCTCGAGAAGTCCACCTCCCAAGCGAAAATTGTCTTGATTGACCCTCGGTGGATGTTTGGTGATGCAAACATGGCAAAATCATCATGCATGAACTTTCAAATACACATTCTGGGATAGCCTAGCTTGTCTATCCTTGATGAATGCATGCATGTTTGCGCTAACCCTCTTTGACAGCTCAGAGTTCTAATCCCCAGTGATAGAACACGAAAATTCGGGCCCTGGAGAAGCCCTCATCATCATTCCAAGAGAGATGCCCCGAAAAAGGTCGGGTATTCAGCAGATGATGCATCAAACCTCCGGGTAAGAAATCCCAGGTATTTCATCATAAATTCTTTTCAAACTACCCAGAAGGTAAACAAGGTGTTCCTTTGAAAAAAGAAAAGCATCTTGACTAGCTGGTCAAGATATTTCATACGATATTCAAGAATAGCCTCAATTGTCTATTTCTCCGATGAATACGTATGTCTTTGTACAAAGAAAAACTTGTCTGACAGAGACACGCCCTTAAGAGGCAGGAACGTGCCCAGGTAAGTACATTTTACCCATGCCCGATTCCAAAAATACATGTACCTACAATTTTTATGGTACCCTTTGAACATCGGATTGACCCCTTTGTTCACCCTCTGAACATCGGATTGACCCCGTTATTCACTCTCTGAACATCGGATTGACCCCGTTGTTCACTTTCCTGAGCATGGAACTGACTCCCTCTGTTCACATCAAATCCTCGGGCGAGGACCCCCAGGTGCTCATCGTTTGAGCTTTTTCAAGACCTGCTGGCGAGGACCCACCAGGCAAACAATCAAATCCTCGGGCAAGGACCCCCAGGTGCTCATCGTTTGAGCCTTTTCAAGACCTGCTGGCGATGACCCACCAGGCAAACCGTCAAACCCTCGGGCGACGACCCCCAGGTACTTTGACAAACAAAATCCAGTCAGTCAAGGCGACCGAAGAAAGGTTCGGGTTCTAAACAAACAAAATCCAGTCAAGGCGACCGAAGAAAGGTTCGGATCCTAGACAGAACAAATGAAATCCAGTCAAGGCGACCGAAGATAGGTTCGGGTCCTAGGCAAGCGATTTCCTCAGTCAAGGCGACCGAAGAAAGGTTCGGGTCCTAGACAAATGAAATCCAGTCAAGGCGACCGAAGATAGGTTCGGGTCCTAGGCAAGCGATTTCCCCCAGTCAAGGCGACCGAAGAAAGGTTCGAGTCCTCGACAAACAAAATCCAGTCAAGGCGACCGAAGAAAGGTTCGGGTCCTAGACAAAAGCAATCCCCGTCAAGGCGACCGAAGATAGGTTCGAGTCCTAGACAAACTATTTTTTTCGTCAAGGCGACCGAAGACAGGTTCGGGTCCTCGACACACAATATCAACTATCTGGAATTACTCTACCCTTCGGCAAGGTAAGTAGCCCCAGGTATGTTTTCATTTGCTTTAGCATGCATCATCTTATATCGCATCATAAAAATGGGACTCCGGTCTCGCCAAAAATAACATTCATCGAGCATGCATGGGCCAAATTTAGGTGCCATTTTATCTTTGAACGTAACCTCTACGAGCTCAATCTCTGCGAGCTCACCTTCAAAGAGGGGCAGCTGTTGACACCTATTTTTGATTTGCCCAAAATTAATTACACAAAATTTAGGAATTAATTTTCTTTAATTCCTAAAACAAAAAAATATTTCTATTTAAATGCATTGCATATAGACATTAGGCATATGTGCATTAATAGGGCCTATTAGAGCATATTTTCTTAAATTTTAAACAAAAATTAAAAAAAAAAATCGAAATCGATTCGGGCCGGGTCGGGGCTGGGCCGACCTGGCCTTTTTCTTCCTTTTTCTCTTTCTCCCCCACGCGGGCCCAGCCCACTTCCTTTTTTTTTTTTCTCTCCCCCCCCGTGGCTGGGCCCAGCCCGGCCCAGCTTCCTTTCCTTCTCTTCCCCCTGCGCCGGTCGCTCTCCTCGCCCCTGTTCTCCCCTGTTCGCGACGGAAGCGTGACGCACGGCGGCGCCGCTTCTCGCCGTCGCTGTCTGGCCAGAGGAGGGCCGGGTGAGCACGCCGACGGGACTGGCATTAATTGCCAGTCCCGTCCTCCCCGTTGTCCCGCCCTTCCTTATCTCCTCTTCCCTCTCAGCTCGCTATTCCTCTCTGCCTCGTCTTAGACCTGCTCCGCCCCTGCTCTGCACCGGCCTGCAAATGGCCACGAAAGTTGTGGCATGGCGTAGGCCGGTGCAGGCCGTCGTCAGCAGACGCAACGGAGCAGAGAGTGAGCGTGGTCGTCGGCCTATACAGGCCAAAAGAGAGAGAGAGAGGGGCGGTCTTTTCTCGGTCGGTTTGAGCATAGAGAGAAACATAGAGAGAACAGAGAGAAAGAGAGCTGAGAATAGAGAGAGAGAAAGCAGGTCGGGAGTACGCCGGAGCGAACCATCAGCGTCGCCGTCGCCGTGAAGCAGCCAAAGCCGCCCGGTCGGCCAGAGAGAGAGAGAAACAGAGCAGCTGGAGAGAGAGCGTGAGTCGAGAGAAAGAGGGAGACGAAGCGAGACAGAGAGACGGAGAGCTCATCCGGCGGGCACCGCGCCTCAGCCATCCATCCCCGTCGCTGAGCCGACGGCGGCGACACAGAGAGAGAAAGAGTCCCTGTCGGCCGTTTGACAAAAAAAACAGAGCGAGAGGCCGAGAGAGAGAAAAAGAGCACCGAGAGAAAACAGGGAGAGAGAGAGAGAGCCGAGAATCCGCCGGAGCTAAAGAAGAACCAGCAGCGGTCGTCGATGCCGCCAGACCTGCCGGAAGCCGTCCAGACGCGCCGTCGACCGGTGAGCCCCCCCTCGGCCGAGAAGCCCCTCTGTTTTCCCCTGTTTTCCGGCGTGGTTGGGCCGGGACTCGCGCCGGCCGTTTCGTGCGAATCCCGGCCCATACCGACGTCGGTCCCGGTCCCTGCTCACCGTTGGAGGCGAACCAAGGCCGTTGGAGCCGACCGAGTCGCCGGAGGAGGCCGAAATCCCTTGATTTTTGCCGCGCACGCTACCTGCTCAATGAAATGCCTCAAAGAGGCTGGTTTGTTTTTGGCCGCCGGCCGGCGAACGGGTGATCGGACGGTGACCCCGGTGGGTGGAGAGGTTCGTTTTTAGTCCTGGGGGTCGATTTGGGGTGGCGCGTGCTGGGTCCGCCGGCGAGAGGCCGATTTTTTGGCCACGGCTACTGCTCCCACGGGTTCGGTCTGACCCGGTTCAGCCGACCCGACCCAGGTCAACGCCCCGGGTCGGATCCGTTGACCCGGGTCGGATCCGACCCGGTTAATATTATATTATTATTTTATTTTATTTAAAAAAATTAAAAATTAAAAAAAAATTTAAAAATTAAAAAAAAATTTTAAAAAAAAAATTAATTAATTTTTGTTCCTTCTTCTGTATTTTTTTTTTCGAAAAAAAAATTTAAATTAAATTAAAAAAAAATCTTTTTTTTATGTTATATCTAAGTGTTTAATTTATTGTAGTATTATTATGCATATTTTTTCCATGTTTAAATTAGACAAACCTGAAGTTGCGCGGTAGTATTTTGCATGTTAGTTTTTATTACCGTTGTATTGTTATGCATGTTTTTTAATACAATTGCATGAGCTGTTGTGTTTTTGAATGTCATCTGACTTAGTTAAGGTTAGAACCTTAAGCTGCATGAATTGTTGTGTTCTTGACTGCTAATCGTTTCTGATTATGCACTCGCTTGATCACCTCACATGTTAGGAGAAAGGTCCTAAAATCAATCCAAATTGCCTGACAAGTGTTTTCATGAAATGAACAGGATAAAAAGGTACCGAAAGGGCATTAGTTATCTAACTAATGTAACCAAGTCCCCGAATTTAGTTAATCTCTGGTTCGTAGGAATAGGGTGGTTCTTCCATCACCCTATTTGGGTTTCTAATTGACCCACCCCAAATCGATTAGTGGCGACTCCTTAGTATAAACCACTTGCATGTTAAATACTTAAATCCTAAGTCGCGATATGGTATGGGCTTGGGAGGGCCCGAGTTAAGTCCTGAACCTAGACTTAGCACGTACCAGGCGAGCCCCCCTTTTTGCATTGTTGTTTAAAAAGGGCTCGGGAGTTCGGTCGCGACATGTGGTGAGAGAGTCAATGCACTATATTTTTCAGAATTACAAAAGTGAATAATTATGTTTTCTCTCTTTTACTAGATTTGGCATTCGCTGGCTGATCTACCTTGTTGATATTGTTAAAGTCCATTTACATTTCTTGTTATTGTTGAACCTATTTAAAACGTAGATCATACAATGATTATGAATTGATTGATGGTGGTTATCTCTGTTTATGCATTTTCAGGTTCATTTACATCGATGTGCCGTTCATACTAAATAATGGATATGATAGGATATGAAAATATCTGGCTTTATTAATATAATTCACCAAATAGTGGATAGGATATAGCAAAATCTCTGAATTTCTAATCATATTCTATCCAGTTTTATCATAACTAAAAATTCATACGACCAAACGCAAGCCAAGAGTTTAATTATGCTTTTGTTGTTATTGAACCAAGTCAATAGTGGTACACAGAGAAATCATACACAAGAACTAGGAGTCCAGTATTTGGGTCCGACGAGTAAGTGATGGTATGAACATAACCTCGAGCCAGTCGGAAAAGACCAGTTCCGCCCACGATAGGCATCTCCCTCACCTTCAAAGACAACATGTTCCTCCCCACAATGGTCAAACCGCTCCCGTTGTACCTCCCCTCTGTGAACACGAAGTTCATGGACATTGACAAGGCCACCTCGCTTTGGGATGCAAACGTCATCATGCCCTGTACCCTACCCAAGTTCTTCAAGCTCATCTTGGGGCCCACTGTCAACGCATCATCGAAAACCTGTACTAGACCGAATGACGTGGCAGATGGGTTGGTCGTCGCAGCCTGGGCGACGGTTACGACAGTGGCATTGCTCCTGGAAATTTTTTCCTGCATGTAGACGTGGAAGCGAGTGAGCTTCTCGCGCTTGGAGGTTAGGAGTTTGGATTTCGCAGTGAGTATTGTGGAAGACACAAGGAATGAGAAGAGAAGGAGCTTGGTTAGGGTTAAGGCCATGCCGTGGGAATTGGGGAGGGAATGGTAGGCTAGACGTAGTGACTGAGGAAGAGAAATAACAAAGCAAGTTTTGGTTGCACGAGTTCGCAACGTAGCGGTTTCATTTCATGCATTTTATAGTGCCCCGAGTGAGGCTCTTTCCAAGGATGAAGAGTCAAGACGAAGAAAACAGGTTGGCACATTTACAGAGCGAGAATATATAATATAAGAATAGGTCGTGAACACGAGATTTTCGTTTTGTAAAAAGAAACAAAACAGATATCTTTAAGACGATCTCAACTTAAGAGTTAACCATTATTATGGGAATTCAAAAAAAGCCTGCTAACGTGTGACCATTATTGTCATTGAGTTTGGTTTTGTTTGCACATTGGACGTGGCTTATATGTATAAAACTGGTGAGAGGCGTAGATAGCATTGAGAGTCATCGTCATTCACGATAATGGAGAGTATAAGAGAATTTTTTTTTTCTTTTGGGTTCGAGTTTAGTTTAAGATTGGAAAATCCTTATAAGTGAATGTAAATGAGTCAATGTAATATAATCTTTTAGGATGATAAAAAAGATCCATCTCGTCGATCTCCCCTATAGACTAGGCATATAGTCGAATCACTTAAGTCCATCTTGTCCAAATTTTATTTATGTACTTATTTGTTGCTCAATCCATTTTGCTTCACATTTGTGTTTTAAATTGATATCAGAGCTTATTATGATTATTATTGGTTAATTGTTCTTCTACGAAATTCGAGGAGTGAAGATGCACGTGCGCCTGAGGCATTTATACGTACCGGCTCTTGTGCCTGATGTTGCTCCTCCTTTCGCAAAAAGTAACAAAAGAAGTAAAGTCACATGATCGTGCCGCTAGGAAAAAATAAAAGAGATTTTCCAAGACTCTTTAGATATTGCAATATAAAACCGACAACTTTTATAGCTTTAGTCATTCTACATACACTATGTCAAGTTCATATGATTGTAGTGCAGATTATGACATTTTTTTTTTTATCGTGTTTCTAGACATATGCTCTCTATTTGTTAATCTTTCGCTTTTGATTCTCCCTCTCCTCCTTGTTTTCTTTTTTGGTCAATTGCTCTCCTCAGTACTACTCCCCTGCAATTGTATCTTTTCAAGGGGAGTATCTAAGGACCGGTGCGCTTTAGCCATTGAACTTCGTGGAACTCACACACGGAACAAATATCGAATTCCTATGTAGCTCAACGTAAGGTCCACGCGATGACCCCGATCATAATGAATCGAGTCTAGGCAAGTGCTTTTGTTCTCTTATGGTGCGCTTCTCTCTCTCTACAAACTTTCTATAGCCTTCCTCTGCCAATCCCCAATTGGTGGGTATCTGTCTCTCTATTTCTTAACTAAAGAAAAGGTTTCTTGAACTTGACTTCTAATTTTTCGCACGTTCAGTGAAGGTTAACCAACCAGAATAGAATAATGTTGGGAGAATTACTAAAAAAAGTAATAAACCTATTGCAATTATGTCAATTTAGTCATAAATACTTTTTTTGCCAATTCAGTCCTAAAACTTTTGCATTTGTGACAGTTCAATCTATCTGGCCAATTTTGGTCGGCCGTCACTAACATGGCACTGCTGGCACTGACGTGGAATTTTTTAATAATATTTTCAATTTTCATATATATTTTTTCATTTCATTTCTTCAGTTTTTTTTCCCTCCACTTAGGGATGGGGAGGGTCGCCGGCCGACCCTTGCCAGCATTGGGTGTGGGCATCGCGACCCTCACCTAGTCTGGGTGAGGGTTGTGGCGCTCTCGCCTGGCCAGATCTGGCGAGGGCATCCTAGCCCTAAGTGGAGGGGAAACAATTTAAGAAAAGAAAAGAAAAAATTCAAAAATTATAAAAAATTAAAAAAATATTATAATATTATTTAAAAAGTCCACGTGAGCACCGATCGGCCAAAATTGGCTGGATGGACTTAATAGGCAAAAAAGAAAAGATTTAGGATTGAATTGACACAATTACAATAGATTTAAGACTTTTTGATAATTTTTCCGAATAATGTTAGTGATTCAACTATCGTAGACTTATAGTTTAAGAAATTGTTTTGTAATAAAAGGATGTGATGAATTCTTGTACCAGTAGAAGTATCAGTAGTTTTGGGTAGACTCTCCATTGGATTTGTATCATATGGCAATCGACGAAGTTAAAAAATAGACCCCGAAACCCATCTCTCTTTTCCTCGTCTTTTCTCTTCCTTTACCAAATAGACTCCCCACTGACCCACGTCCACTGTGACCATCGTTGGTGGTCGCCACTACCCCTACAACCGCCAACTCTGATGATTGCCGCTCATGGCACTACCGTCACCAAAAAGTCTCTCTCTACGCACGGAAAAAATAGAGTATTCATCGCCACCATGAAGGGAAGTCAACGCAAGGGACCTTATCTGCTCTTGATTTGATAATTATAACTATCCACTCTCTAATTGATGACGGATAAAGCCACTTGTATAATGCAGCAAGAGTATGCTCTAATTACTACAATACTTTTGACTTTTGAGGTGGCCATCTCAAATGAGGCCAACATAATTTGGTGGAGATTTTACTTTAGAATGTATGGTTGGGTTTATCTTGATAGACTTTACTCTTTGCTTAATCTAAATCTTACGGTGGACGAACTTTGACTTTTCTTAACTCGAAACCCCAAAAACCTTCACTGCATATAAATATCGATACATAAATTCATGTGTAATTTTTCATAATTCTTTAAAATTCAAATAATACTTTAAATTGTGATGGGAAAATAAAATAAAAAAAAACTACTTTTTGCTTTTGCTTACTGTGAAAACAGAGCCACAGTTTACGACACCTTTTCATATATCCAAACAATCATTTTCTTCTTATAGATGTGTACACCGCGGATATGCTAGAATTACTACACTACTTTTGACTTTGAGGTAGCCGATTTCCAATGCGGGCCATATGATTTGGTGTGGACCTTACTATAGAATATGTTATTTGAGCCTGTCTAAATAGACTTTACCTTTTGGTTTAATCTAAATCTTGCAATTAGACGAACCATAACTTTTCTTAGCTTTGACACATAGGGTGCATTTGTTTCGCGGAAGATGAATAATTTGAAAAACACTTTCCTTAAAACACTCGCTTATACGCTTACAAAAATGAATGAAATTTAAATATTTTCATTATTCATGAACATGTTTAGATGAAAATTATTGTCGATAAGAAAATATTTTCTATTAACTAATTATTTCAAGCGATATAAGTGATCGTTTTTAGGAAAAATGTTTTTTAAATTATTCATTTTCTTCGAAATAAAGGGAGCCATAGATTCTGCATGATTTTATTATAATGTTTTGACATTTAACATAATATTTTAAATTGCAATGAGACAGCAAAAAGCTACTTTTAGCTATTGCTTTAAAGTGAAAACAAAACAGCAATTTACAATTCCATCTCATATACAAATAATCATCGTGCAAACTGAATACCATTGTCATTGTGACACCTGGACTGAAAAAAAAAATTCGAAAGAAAGTCGAAGGTTTAAGGTGGGTCCTACACTTTTCTCTCACTTTTCCCCGTTACTCAATTTAAAAAGTTTGTTTCTGAGCTCCAAAATTGCAAAAACCACAAAATAATCACAAACCATAAACAAGAAGATAAACGAGTTTGAATCAATAAACGGACATTTAAAAGTGGAAACAATTAGAATTCAATAATTTATCAAAAATAGAGTCCCACATATTAATGAAATCAGTCTGACTTACTTTACATAAACTAAAAATCGATCTTAAAAACGAGAAGCGAAGATCGAACAGATGTGAGAAAAAAGAAAAGGACTCCCAGACTCATAATCCAAAAGAGGAAAAAAACATGCTACCAAACGCATCCTTAGTCGCTCAAAATATGTGCTGGACACCAACACCTATGACTTTTTTGTGAATAAATAATTTGTTTTCGACCAAAAAAAATTAATTTGTTTTGGGTTTAAATCGTGACTTTTTTTCAATTTTTTTTAGTTTTGCTGCCTAGGTGTCGCAATTTCAATGGTACTTGAGCACAATGACATGTGATAAAATATTAGGTAAAACAGACTTGCCATATCATAGGCCCGTAAAAAATTTTGAGTTTCCCCCCTTTATCTCCAAACTTTCTATAGCCTTGCACAATCCAATCCAGCCCTAATTGATGGGTCTCTCTCTCTCCCGACTATTGAAAAGCTTTCATTGGCTCTCTAATTTCCCCGCGTCCAGTGAAGCTAAAAGAGAATATTACTTAAAAAATTGTTTTGTGATAAAATGATGTGATGAATTCTTGTAGGGTATTTGAACATGGCACATTCATGACAAATAACGCTATATGTATTACGAGGAATGTTCTTGCATTCTCTGCATGAATGCTTTTATATCACTAGCATTATTTTAAAGCAAAGTGTAGCATACATCCAGAAAGTCAATGCTAGCATGGATGATTGTAATATGTATTAGTTGCAACAAATAATCAATTCCGAGATTGCATCGAAAGCCTCTACCTGCACTCAATATATATTACAGCTCAATCTTGTGATATAATAAGTATTTTGTGAAGTTCATCTGTGATCTGGATTCATGTGTTCACAATTTGAGCACTTAACAATGTTCAATAGAAGATCGTCGGTCATTTTCCCTCCCACCCTTTTCTTTAGAGTATTTTCCGCGTTAAGTCAGTAACTCCAACTAGGAACATCGAATGATTAGGCTGAGCGAGTTCAGTGTGTTAATTAATTAGCCGCCTAAAGATGTGAGAGGATCATAATATGCCCACTTGATCTTTTCCTAAGAAAAACAATGTTGAGTTGCCTTCTCCGGATAATCTTCCACTAGAAGTACCAATCATTTTGGGTAGACTCTCAATGTCAATGCCCGTGCCCCAACAACTCCTAACTCCGAGGGAAATTTCTCCAAAAGGTCATAAACTTATTGTATAGCTATCAATTCAGTTTTAAACTTTTCAATTTTGCCAATTTAGTTTTAA